CAGCGGCCGGCCGGCGGGTCGGGCGCCCCGAGCTTCAAAGGGCCCCCGGGCCGCGCCGCCTGCACCGGCTCCGGGGGGCGGGGGGCGGGGGGGGAGAGCTCTTTCCTGGGCCTGCTCGCACCCCTCCCCCCTGAAAGAGAGATGTTTCGTGTCCCCCCCCTTCGTAGAAAGTCGGTTTCAAGAACGCCCGAGCCGGTTCCAAATACCTCCCAAGTCCGTTTCAAGTCCCCCAGAGTGCTTCTGACACCCCATAAGTCTTTCGGCGCCCATCTAAAAGCCTGTTTCACCATCCCTTACAAGTCTGTCTGAGGCCTCTAAAATCGCTTTCCACTGTCCCCCCAAAAAGTCCGGTTTCGTCCTCCTCCGAAAGGTCAATCTCAAACACCCTGGAAAGAAGAAAAAACTTGGCGGCACGGGGTGGGGGTAGTGCTGTGGGGCGTCCGTTTTACACCCCATTCCCAGTTGGCAAACTAACACGGGTGTTTCTTTACTTCTGAAGTTGGGTCTCCCCTGACTTCAGAGCCCCCCCACTGTGGTTTCGCCTTGGCCGCCCCGACCCCACCTGGGGAACCCTCGAGTAGAAAACGTAGGAGCCGGAGGGGTTTTCTTTTCCTTGGGCCGGAGGCCTTTCTCGGCCCCCGTTTTCTGGAGGTGGAAGGGGGCCGGCAGGTGGATCCCCCAGCCCCTGTTCTAGAGAGCAGCCCCCGGGATGATGGGGCGGGAGGGGGGCGGGGGAGCCTGATCTGGGGACCCTGATCTTCAGGGACGGGAGACAAGGATGTTTTCAAAGTTGCTTAAAAATAATTGCCGGATACATCGTGGCAATAAAACAACCTCGGGTTGTTTTTTTCTTTACTGAGTTCGGTTTTTTGGGGGAGGGAGTGGGGGTGGGGTGGTGAACGGCAGAGGAAAGCTTCGCGGGTTGGCCACTTTAAATCCCGTTCGGGGGCTCTCCCCTGCCACCGCCTGTTAAGTTGTGAAGTGAGGAGGGGGCTTTGCTTTTTACTGTCTTTGGACTTTTTTCAGTTTGGATTTGGGGGTGACTGGGCCTCCAGCGTGCTGTGACAGCTGCTGGGGCGGGGGGTGGGGGGTGTCACCAAATTTCCCCGGGGGCGGGGCCTGGGCCGCGCCTCCCCCTGCCCTGGGGGAGGGGCGTGGGGAGGCCTGGGGGTGGTTGGAAACGGAGATGTGGCGAGGGAGAGGGGCGGGTTCCGGCCACTGCGCGACAGGCGAGGGGACCGCTCTGCCCTGCCCCCAGTATAAATTTTGCAATGTGATTCCCTGGTGGTCGCTGAGGGAGTTTAGGGAATTTATATTCAAACTCCCCCCCACAATTGTTCAGACTCCCTGCTGGCTCTGGGGAGGGGGCTGCTGGGCGTCCCCATCCTGGCTTCCTCGCCTCCACCCCCAGAGTCAGCGACTCAGTTTGGGGAGGGAGACCCCCCTCCCCAGGGCCATTGCAGACCTCAGATTCCCAGGACAGCTTAAGGGGGCTCTTATTTAAACAGCCCCCCCCCACCCCCACTCATCCAGCCACTGACTCCTGTTCTCTCCTGTCTGTGTGTTCTGCTGTCTGCCTGTCCCTGCCTCTCCCTGCTGCCCGCCCCCGCCCAGGGCTCTGTCTAGGCCCCAGGTGCCTGCCCTGGCCACCTCACCCGCCGTTGGAGAATGAACCAGCCGCCGAGGATGGCACCCGTGGGCACAGACAAGGAGCTCAGCGATCTCCTGGACTTCAGCATGGTAAGGGGGCCCCCTCCCCCCAGGATCTCCAGGAAGGTTGTTAAGGAGAAGGAGTGTCTGCTGAAACTACTCCCAATAATGGATCCTCAAACTCGCTCGGGTGAGAGGGTCTCCAGATGGGGCTGGCTTATGGGGTACACTCGGCAGGCAGGCTGGTATCCCTGTGGTGCTGTGTGCAGAATCAGGGGACCTGGGTCTTCTGCAGAGGCACCTGTCACGAGGTGTTTGCCCAGCCACAGGTTGGGTTCAGTCCACCCCTTTTACAGATGAGGAAACCAAGGTCCAGAGAAGGAGTTTCCCATGGCTTCCAGCTTCTCTGTGGGGAGGCTGGACCTGGAGTACTCAGCTCTGAGGGCAGCGCTTGGCCTTGACCTTCTCATCTGTAAAATGGGCGTGATCGGGGTCATAGGCTTCATCACATACTCGACAAATAATAGTTGCTGTTACTATTACTGTCTTTGTTATTGTTGGGGTGTGACCGACCCCCAGGATGGCCTGTTTTGGGGCTGGACAGGGTGGTGGTTCAGAGAAGGTACAGGCTCTTGGAGGTTGTACAGCTCAGAGATCTGAGGCCCAGCAACCAGTGTGCTCCACGGTGCCAGGAGCTGGTGGGCCTCCCAGAACTCTGGAAGCCCAGAGGCCTCAGTTTGCCCATCTGTGCAGTGGGGTTGCTTGTCTTAGGGCCATGGGGTGGTCAGCATTTTCTCGAAATGCTCAGGAGTTTCTTTTTTCTCTTTCCGGCCGATGTGTTGGCAGATTCCCCGAATTCTGCCCCCCCACCCCCAGCACCGTTTGGGTATGAAACAGTGCGGGTGGATGAGGGTACTTTCAGTCTGAATTTAACCCTCCCTGGTGGGCATAAGGCTCAGGCCACTGAGGTCTGTCAAAAACAAAAGTCCCCAAACCGAAACACCAGTCACTCGCACCCCCCCCGCCCCCCCACAATGAAAAACAGCCTTCTGGATGGAGGGGCCACGGTGCCGGAAGGGCCGCGCCGATATTTTTAAGCCGTGTCTTATTTTCGCCTTCCCGGCTGAGTAACCAGGGCGCAGTGCAGTTGTTTGTTAAACTGACAGGTCACGGGCTGCTGGCCCGGAACAGACTAGCTGGGGGCGGGGGCGGGGAACACAGGTTCAACCTTGTGGGACCAGGACCCTTCACCTCCGCCCCACTGCCCAAGAGCCCTGAGCCACTCATTCACCTCCTCCTCCTGCCCAGAGGGTCTGAGCATTTCCCTGCTTTAGCTGGGAACCAGCCACCCATTTCACAGATGAGGAAGCTGAGGTTCCCGGTTTAGTCCAGAGTTAGTTTTCACCCCTCTGTGACCATAAGGGAGAGGTCCAGCTTTCTTTCCAGGACACCGAAAGCAGAGGCAGCCGCCCCCCGTTAAACAGCTGACACCCCTTTTCCGTCCGTCTGTAGCCACCCTGCCAAACCTGCCCCGGGACACTGGATTTTCTGCTTCTTTAAAAGAACCCACGGGTTGGACCTGAAACAAGAAAAGCATCTGAATGGGAAGCCTTTCTTCCGGTGTCTTTGTATACAGTAGGAGAAGAGGCAACTGTCAGTATAAACACAAGGGAAAAGCCGCAGCTAAGCTCGTTAGATTCCACGTCGGGCAGCCCCGGGCTCGAGGTTGCTCTGTATGGGCGGGAGATAGAAAGGCTATGAGAACGTGGAGGCACGAGCTGAGACCCGGCTGCTTGCCAGGACCCTGGATTGGAAGGGAAGAAGGCTCTCTGTGGTCTTCCTGGCTCCTGTCTGATACGGTCCCAGGCTTGAGGGTTGTGGCTTCTCAGACAAGGGGCCACGGGGAGGTGTTGACTGTGGGACCTTGGCCACCAATGCCCTTGAGCCACGCATGTGGACAGAAGCCCCTGCCACATCCAGGAGCCCACGGGCAGTTGTGTTCTACAATCCCCCGCGCCCCCCCGTGTGCTCAGAGCCCTGGGTCCACTTTACAGCTAGTAAAACTGAGGCTTCGGGGATGGGTCTGGGCTGAGCACAAGGCTGCGGAGCCCTCAGGACACCGCCCGGTACCCTTGTGGCAAATGCCACGTCAGCTTAGTCCCCGGGGGCCTGGAGGCCAAAACAGATCAAAATGAAATCGAGCCCCCTTGCCACTGGGCTTGGTTGCTGATCCCCAGGATGCCCCTGGAGTCCATCTGCTTCTGGTCTTGGCTCGGGTCAGCTCCTCTGCCACCCCAGGCCTCAGTTTCCCCAGTGGGAGAGTGGCCCTTCTGGGAGAATGGGGTCCGGGGGGGTGCGGTGGTGCTGAGCCAGTTCCCTTTGACACATGAGCCCAGCCAGGCCCTCAGTAGAGTGGGTGCAGACCCCGATGATAACCTGCCCCAGCCTTGCCTCCACCCCTCCTGTGAGCCTCTCTCCCCCTACTGCTGCAGGGCCAGACGGGAAGGCGGCCTTGGTGTCTCCTCCTGTAGAATGGGAGCGTGGGGATTGGGCGCCAGGGCCTGAGACGCTGTGCCACGCGCTTTCACTTCCTGTCAGGCCTGGACAGGTTTCAGGGGCTGTCGGCCGCTCCCCAGCAAGCCCAGGTTCCAGCCACGTTTGTCACTGGGACCTCAAACCGAATCTTTAAAAGCCAGACTCTCAGAGCAGGACAGGGGTGCGTTTTGTTTTTTCTGTGGCAAAAGGGTTTGTTGATGTTGGATTTTTCTGGTTGATGCTGCTAAGCTGTTTAATCTTCAAGGACTTAGCACAGTGGGTGAGCCAGGCGAGAGGGAGGGAGGGAGGGAGGGTGTCAGGCCCAGCGCCTAGGAGAGACACTGAAGCAAGCTCTGGGGGGCAGCTCCTTCCCCAGTCCCCCCAGCTTCTCACTCTACCCCTGGACCCGTCTCCCTCTGCTGCCACCCACTGCCTCTCTGAGCCTCAGTTTCCCCTTTTGTCAGGCTGATGCCCACGCCTCTGAGGTGCCGCGTGGGCCACTGAGCCTCTGCTAAGCCCAGAGCCCAGCCTGTTACCCTCCCAGCCTTCCCATCATGAGGTGTCCCATCCCGTCTCCCCACAGCCCTCCCTGTGGGGTCCTGGGCTTGTCAGGAAAAGTCAGAGCACACCAGGACATCTTTAGAATGAGCTTCAGCCGACTTTCACTTGCATCCACCCCGTTACCTGCTCCTTGCAAAGGTTGTTTCTTTCTTTTAAGCAGAAACTTAAAGAAAACTTTGTATTCCTCCCAAGAGTGGATAAATTGTATCAAGTGCCATAAACAGGCTCCCCCCAAAAAACAAACAGACAAAACCCAAACAGTATCAGTAGCAGAGTTTTAGAATTCCAGTAGATACTTTTGCCCTTCGGGGTGGCTTCTTTGTGTGTGAGTTGGAAGGAGGCATTAAGGTCTTGTTGGCACCGGGGGAGCCTTTCTCGACACCAGCCGATTTGAGCGAACGCTAAGTCAGTGGAATTCTTGCTTTTTCTTGCCGTGGGCAGTTGGGGCAGTCCTGCTCTTTCTCTTCTTCTTTTTTTTTTTTTTTGATAAAGATACATATGTGAGGCACTGGGGGTTTAGTGGTAGAATTCTCGCCTTCCATGCTGGAGACCCGGGTTTGATTCCCAACCAGCGCACCCGATACGCAGCCACCACCTGTCCCTCGGGAGGCTTGCTTGTTGCTGCAATGCCGAACAGGTTTTGGTGTGATGTTTCAGCAGAGCTTCCAGACTAAGATAGACTAGGAAGAAAGGCCTGGTGATTGACTTCCAATAGTTGGACACTGAAACTCTGTGGGTCATGGTGGTCTGATTGACAACCAATCATGGGGATGGTGCAGGACGGGGCAGCATTTGGTTTCATTTTGCATGGGGTCGCCGTGAGTTGCAGGTGACTGATGGCAGCTAACAGTCACAGAGATACATTTAACAACGTTGCCATTTCAGCGTTTCTGAGTGTCCGGTTCAGTGATGTTAATTGCATTCACCACATTGTGCAGCCATCCCCACTGTCCGTCTCCACATTTTTCCATCACTCTTAACAGACTTAACGGCCCCCAAGTAATGAGTCCCCTTTCCCCCGCATCATGCCCCGAGTCCCGGCCCCCTTGGCACCCACGAGTGCATCCCAGTTTTGGGGAGCGGCTGTCTCGGGGTCCTTTCACACCCTTTGGGTCCCCGATGAGACAGGAGGTAGTAAGACTGGGACAAAGCTGTGTCCTCGGTCCCCGAAGGTCCCCAAGCTCCATCTGCACCCTGAGCCGCGACGGGTGCTGAGGCGGCTGGGACTGCGGGGTTTTTGCAGCCCGGCCACACTCACTGTCTCCCTCTTTCCCCACAGATGTTCCCGCTGCCTGTGGCCAACGGGAAGGGCCGGCCCACCTCCCTGGCCGGCGCCCAGTTCACAGGCTCAGGTAGGACCTGCGCGTCAAGTGAACAGACAAACGTGTCGAGGGTCGGGCACGGGCAGAGTCCGGGACACGGGTGGGGAGCAGAACCAAAGGGTCCCCCGGGCTAGCGGCCGGGTGTCAAAGGAGGGAGGTGTTGGGAGGGCCGGGGAGGGGCTTGGGGCTCCACGTCTGGGTGTGCACACTTGGGAACGGTGGGTGGTGAGCCTCAGAGGACCCCAGGATCGGCTACTCTCAGTGTCACCTCCAGCTGTGGCGCGAGTCTCTGCCGTTGGGGCTGCAGAGGGAGCCCGGTGGCCAGCCCAGCAGTTGGCACGGGCCCTTGCCCTGTCTGCCAGGAGTCTGCAGAGTCTGTGTCCCAGGCTCGGGCTGTCTTAGGACTCTGGGTGCAGGCGTGAGGCCAAGCAGTCACCCATGAAGAAGGCCAGCATGAGGTAGGGCCTTCAAGCCCATCTGGCCTCAGGGATGTCCAGGCTACGAGGGCCCTGGGTCTCCAGTCCATCCCAAAGGGGAAAACTGAGGCCCAGCAGGGGCGTGACACAGGCCCCTGCCCTCGCCAAATCCCACCCACCCTGTAAGCCGTGAGCCAGGCCTGACTTCCTCAGCTGTTCAAGTTTGAGTACATATTAGGCGTTGACTGTATACAGAAACCGCCCTGGGATGACCAGCCATCTTGGTTCTTCTGGGGCCGAGGAGTTTTCCTGGGTGTGGGACTTGGGGTGCTAATACTAGACAGTCGAGGCAAACCAGGACCAGGCAGTCACCCCAGCCAGCCCTGAGGGCTGATGTGGTGGCGGCGGGCAGGACGGACGAGGGAAGATAGCAGGTATGAGGACCACAAAGTTATATACGGGAGGTTGGTGCTGCTTGGAGAGGCTCACAGTGCAGTGGGATCAGGCTGCTGAGCCATGGGGAGGGCACTGTTGCTGAGCTGGCTGGTTAGGGAGCCCTTGATGAGGGGTCACTTAAGGGGAGACCTTGAGGAGGGGTCACTTAAGCGGAGACCTGAGGTCGGGGAGGGAGGGGGCCATGTGAGCATGAGGACTGCCCCTGGTGGTGGGAGCAGCCGGTACAAAGGCCCTAAGGCAGGACAAGGCCTGGTGAGTTCGGGGAACAAGGAGGAGGCCCGAGTGGCTGGGAGCATCGTGGGCGAAGGGGCGAGGGGAGGGCAGGGCCCTGTGGGCTGCGGCTAGAGGTCTGTCTCTCCTGAAGGCAGCGGGGAGCCATGGAGGATTGTAGGCAGAGGCAGGACGAGGTCTGATGTGCTTATTGGGAATCCTTTTGCCTGCCAGCTGGTTTTGGGGGAACCAGAGTGTCCCCAAGGCAGTGGAGATCGGTGGTAGAATTCTCGCCTTCCTTGTGGGAGGCTGGGATTTGATTCACAGCCTCACGGGCACCCAACCCTTGTCTGTCAGTGGGGGCTTGTGTGTTGCTAGGGGGTGTTGCTAGGATGCTGAACAGGTTTCAGTGGAGCTTCCAGACAAAGATGGCTAGGAAGAAAGGCCTGTTGATCTGCTTCCGAAAATCGGCCAGTGAAAACCCCGTAAATCACAAGGATCTGATCCTGGCCAGTTGTGGGGAAGGTGTGGGACCACAGCGTTTTGTTTCATTGTGCGTGGGGCTGCTGTGAGTTGGGGGGCTGACTTGCCAGCAGCTAACAGCAACAGCAGTGTCCCCGGGGAGTCCCCTGGGCCTGTGGTGTGGGTCTCAGAAGCAGGCTCTTGGACCGGGTCCTCGTGTTTCTAGGCTCTGGGAGAGAGGTTCTGTTAGGCCGTTGTCTTCAAGATCCGCTGGGGTGTGCTTTGGGCTCTGGCGGGATTCGGGGGGGTCCCACGGGGGAGAGAGGAGGTGGTTCATGCTCACGGCCTCTGCCCTCCCTGGCCTCCCTGTCCCTGAGGAAGTGGCTGCAGGATGGCTGAAGTCTCCCCCAGGCATGGAAATCCCCGAGGGCACCCGCCATGCCCCCCCATGCTGACCCTTCCTTGCCCGGGGGATGGGACGCCCGGGCTTTCCTGGAGGTGGAGTCTGCAGATGTCCACCCTCCTCCCGCCTTTGCCATGGCTCTGCGTGGGGAGGGGCCTTCACTGCACGCCATGCACTTGCCCGCACCCCTCCTCTGCAAACACGCTATGGGAGGGCCAGCAGCCCTGAGCAACCATGGGCGTGTGGACCCCTCGCTCCCCAAAAAGTTTCCTCCAACACCCCCTGCCTGGTCCTTCCTCCCTGGACCTGAAGCCTGGCCCGTCTGTAAATGTCTATTTCCTGTGGTTTCCGCAGCCACACCACCTCTGACGGGAGGGTCTCTGTACTCCAGCCCCACCCCCCACATTGGGGCTTAGAGCTCCACGGACCTCAGTGAGGCTCGCTTGTTGCATTTCTTGCTCTCAGAGGGATGGGATGGGGCTGGCTCTAGCCTGGGGAGCCAGCCTACCCGGACACACAGTAGTGGTCCCCTCATTTCAGTCCAGGCACTTTCAGCTGGGCCCGAGCCCCCTGGGTGGGGAGCTGCGGGGTCAGTGGAGGCCCAGGGCCTGGGGCCCCCTTCCTCCTCGCTGCTACGCCCTCCCTATAGGCACAGACTCTTGTGCCACTACAGTTTGAGCCTCAGTTCCCTCATCTGCAAAAAATGGGCTTCGCGGCTCGGCGGACCAGGGGCTGAGAGCGCTTTGTAAGCTGTGAAGTGTGGGGCACGTCCCTGCAGAAGCCCCCTGGCCTTCACTGGAGCCCATGACCATCCGTCTGCGGAGGGTGGGGGTGGGGGTGGGGGTGGGGATGGGGTGGGAGAGGTTCTCCCAGTTTGGAGCCCCTGTCCCTGCCCCCGCCACCTCCTTGGAGCGAGGACCCCCAGGAGGGAGTGGAGCACGATGTCCCATGAGTTGGACGGGCCCAGGGTTCATCTTCTGACCCCCGGGAGTCAGAGCAGACCCAGGGCTGTGTGCCCAGGGCCATCCCCTTCCTGCACCTAAGTTTGTTCAGTAAAATGGGTATAGTCTCACCTTTCGGACAGGTCTCTCCCAGAACCCCTTTCGTTCTGCCGGCCACGCCCTCTGCCTTGACCCCCCCCCCCAAGTTGCCATGGAGTCAGCCCCAATCCGTGCGCCCCCACGTGCGTCAGAGTAGACCTGAGCTCCGAAGGGTTTTCAGAGGCTGGTGGTTCTGACACAGATTGCCAGGCCTTTCTTTTGAGGACCTCCAGCCTTTCAGGTCGTGGTCAGCACTTAACTGTTTGCGCCACCCAGAGATTCCCGGACAATCCTGTGACTCCAGAGGAGGGTCTGTTTCTTTACACACTCAGCCATTCCATCACAGCCTCCAAGTAGCTGTTGAGTTAGTTTTGACTTATGGTGCCCCCATGTGTGTCAGAGGAGAACTGGGCTCCATAGAGTTTTCAGTGGCTGATTTTTTGGAAGTAGGTTGCCAGGCCCTTGTTCCGAGGCACCTCAGGTTGGACTCAAACCTTCAACCTTTCTGTGAGCCGCTGAGCATGTTCAGCGTTTGCACTACCCAGGGCCTCCAACCTATCCTTCGTATTCCTTTAAAAGCGCTCACTTCTCTTAAACGTATTTTGAATGGAAACTTAGTAGGAGAAAACTAGCAGCCGGGACCAGAATGTAAGGTATCCCCGAAAAGGAGAAAAATAGGAACCACGTGCCATTTAGAGGCTGATGTGACTGGTGGCGGTTCTACCTGGCGTCTGCCTGTTAAAAAGATTAAAAACATAGGTGTTGAGAGGCGTTAAAGACAAACGAGACAGACGTTCTGCCTCTTATCTGGATTAGAAGACATTACAAAGGGAATAATTGTCTCGGCACAGCTCTTGCTGACAGTCCATCGCTGCCAAAACGCAGAGGATCCGAGGCCTCAGAAGGCATCAGGAAGTGCTCAGTGACCGGCCGGAGGAAGTTTCTTTCCTATTTTTAATCTCTCCCCAGCTTTCTGGGTTTGTGTAACTGGAAATGGAACCCGTGCTCGGAGGGAAAAAGTCACACACTTGGAAAGGCCCTTTGCCTGGTCTGTTTTTATAAGAGACCTTGGAATGAACACACGTGCAGTGATTTCCTGAGGGTGAGTTTCTAGAAGTCCACTTGCTGGGTCTGTGGATGAATCTTCCCGTTGAAAACGCCATTGTGTGTCCAGAAAGCTCCCCAGAAAGGCAATAACGTCAGATCCCCTCCGGTGGACGGTCTGTGGCTGCCTGAATTTGGCCGGCACCGGGTCCTTTTTCTCGTTTCTTCATTAGGTGACCAGTATTACGTTGCTTCAGTTTGCGTGTATGTGATGAAGACAAGATGGTTGTCTCTTCAAAAGTTGATTGGCCGTATGCATTCTTTTTCTTTCCTATATGTTTTATTTTTGTTGTTGTTGAGAATATTCTGAACAACGCAGCAGAACATACACCAGTTCAGCAGTTTCTACGTGGACAGTGTAGTGACATGGATTATATTCTTCGAGTTGTGCGACCATTCTCATCCTCCTTTCCCGAGTTGTTCCTCCTTCATTAGCATAAACACACTGCCCCCAAGCTTCCCATCTAATCTTTCTAGTTGCTGTTGTCATTTTGATCCCATATACACAGCTCTGAAAAGAGCACAATGCTCACAGCATAGGAGTTCTTTTTGTGATGAATTCCCTTTATTCTCTTGAGCCCTGTTTTGGAGGATTGGTCAACTTTTTATTTTTGGTTAACTTTTTATTTTGAAATAATTAGGAATTTCAGGAAGTTGCAAAGCAATGTCCTTGGGGGTCCTGTGGACCCCTCACCCAGCTCCCCCCAGTGATAGCGTCTTGTGTAATTATTGTACAACATCACAACCAGGAAGCTGATGCCAGAACAATCCTCTTGAGTTCGTTCGGGTTTCGCCAGCTTTGCACACACTCCTGTGTGTGCACGTGTAGGTGTTGTTGGGTGCCGTGGAGTTGATTCTGACTCACAGAATCATGTGACAGAGTAGAACTGCCCCATAGAGTTTTCTAGCTGCAGTCTTTATGGGAGCAGGTTGCCGGGT